TCTAATGCATGAATATAAAATGCAAAAGATATCAAATCTAAATTGCTTTATATTTCATAGGGAGTCATGACAGTGAAGTTGTTGAGCTGGAACAGCAGAGAGACACACTGAGAGACAGGAAGAGCTGCAGGGTTTTAATGGCACCGTAGGGAGTCTTCTGGTGTCTGCGGTTCTTCACTAAGCCGCTCTGTCATCTCTGCTGTGCCTTCAGACTCCCTCGACACTGAGTGTGTGTGTGTCAGCTCATGTATTGAAATGCTCCTCTGTACTGTAGCATAACACAATAACTTAATCATAACGCTCTTAATGGTTATTCATTCACATCACTGCGGTGTAGCATCTGTTGTTATGGAAACAGTCCTAGCACGTGTGGACCGGATGGGCCTGTTCTGTTTTTCACTTCATGCACGGGAGTCAGAATCTTTCTGGCATTATGAATGAAATGCTGGACTCTGCGGTTCTGATGTGATTAACTGTTGGTAATGAGGAACAGTGCGTTCTGTTCTTACCCTATCAGAATGTCCCGTGGCGGTGGCTAAGACACGCCCCTTTTTCCAGTCCCACACGCACACCGTGTTTTTGGCATCAAGTCCCACAGACGCTAAACGCTGAACGTTCAAAAACACAAGACAGGAGAAAATAAGTGGTTAGACGGGAGCATTTACAAACACAAATGAAGAAAATTCAGTTTTAATAATACTACTACTCAGGGTTATTATAGTTAACTAAAATTAAAACCATTAAAAAAAACTATATCATTACATGAAATAGACATTAACTGAAATAAAATAAAATACCAAAAAAAATTATTTCAGCTAGTTGCCAACATTTCTTATTTTAATTTAGTTCTGAAATAACAATTATAGACATGTATAAAAATTTTTTAATAAAAATGACAAAAAAACACAAGAAAATTACAAAAAATGTTATTAAAATAAAAATAAAAACTGATTTAAAACATTAATAAAACATATAATGGTATCTCAATGATACAAAAATAACAACTTACCAAATATTAGGGGTGTAACAATATATTGTGTCAAAATATTATCGCAATACAAAACTGCAACAATATGTATCGTGAATAGTTCAACCAAAAATAAAAGTTTAGGTGATTGTTCACATAAAAACAATGATCAACGCATCAAATATGGTAAACT